CGCTATTCTCGCGCTCTGATTGGTCAGTGTTTTTCATTAATAATTCAAAAACTAAGCTTTAACCAGCATTTTAGTAAAGGAAAAAGTTGTTCAGAATCACCCCAGCTATCACCCCCTAAAATTATGTCCACCAGTAGCCGAACACCCTGTATACTAGGAGTACTCGCAGGCCCCAGACCGTAATTAAACAATAAGTGAAAAGGACGTAAAACAAGGAAAACGTAGCTTACGCGGAAACATATCGAATCGAGATACACCAATTTTAATGAAATTTATGTGAAAGATAGTTCTCAAGAAAATATTTGACACGTATTTTTTTATCGGCCATCATTTACATTGAAGGGGTGAAAATAGCCCTCAAAGTTAAAGGCTGAAATCATACTTTTGGGAATATTTCCGGAATGAAAGGAAAAAATTGGAAGCTTTTTCTTAAATTGTTCATCTTTATATAGGGAATTTTCGTACGTAAAAAATTTTAATATACTTTATTTGTTTAAATAATGTACCATTGTGGAATCGCGTGATAAAATAAAAATGAATCGAGTTACTACTTGATCGCTGTGCTCGACGGCAACTTAATGTCGTGAGGACGAATTTGGATTGGTGCAAAGGAATGATGATTGTTAAAAAACTCAACACTTAATTTATTTTAACCTAGTTCTTGATACTAACTCTTACAAATGTGTTTACGTTGGTAGTTTAATTTGTTCTGTTTTTGCTTCGGCTTTTCTCAAAAAAGGAAAACTTTTGGAATAAGCGTCTATGGTAGAATGGTAGGAAAAGTAGGAAGGCGCCATGCAAAAAGAGGGAAATTTTGGGTTGTGATTGGGTTAGGAATCCTGGAAATTAGCAAAGGTGAAAGAAAGAAGTGGAGGAAGTGTTGAAGAAAAACTCAACACCCTGTAACATCCCTGAAGAATTTTCAAACTTTTATTGCAGTGTCATTTCTTCAATTATCGACTGTATTTCTCCCTTACCGACCGCGACATTAGGCAAATCGAGTATCATAAGAATTCAGCAAACTGTCGGTAATAAATATATAATTCTACATTATACATTCATAATGAATGTATATTGAATATATGAATTCTACATATTCAGCAAACTGTCGGTAATAAATGTATAATGCTACATGGAAAATTCCGTAATGCTATGTGTTTACGTGCCGCGAAGCTAGCCCCGAATTTCTTGGAATTCTTGCGTTATCTTAGAGAGGGATAGAAATACATTTTACAATTAGGACGTTATTTGTTATTAAAAACTATTAGTTAAACGGATCAGTCAATATATATCAAGCGTACTAATATTATGTTATCCGGAACTAAAGTCAAACGTTAGTTTATCGCAGTATATATTGTAAATTATAATATTATTCAATGGAATATTCTAGAAGCATCGTATGCTTATACATTTAGCTCCGATCCGTATAGAAGTCGTGCGTAGTACATAGAAAGAGATAGAAAATGCAATTTTCATTAAAACACTATTAAATTACTATTTTTATATCAGGAATATAAACCATTATGTAGAATGCGATATTAATAATGTAACTAAATCGTTCGTTTGTACAATTAATGTCTAATTACGAATTTATACGATAATTATATATTTCGACGTTATGGGGGTTTTCCGAGAATTTGCCAGGCTGGCGAGTATAAAAGGCCGAGCGGAGCTCGCCAAAATCGCAGAAGTTTTCGAAGTCGAGCAAGCTAGAAGTCTTCAGATAAGTATAACCGGAACAGTTTTCGCTGTGAAGAGCCGCAACGATTCTTAATACTTGACTGGTAAAGCGGGTATACGCCATTTGGATACTTGGTCGTGGGTCGTTCTAGTAGCTAGCTAA